TAACGGAGCTACACGTGTTCTGCTGAGCGTACAATTTGATATGTTGTACTCGTGTAAGACGGAGACAACATATGCGGGTGAGATGCCMTCTTAAGAACTACAACTCACGGATTACATAGGTGCCTACTATTAGGCATAAAAAATGTAAATTTTAATCCGCTTTAAGCTCGAAAATGTTCGTTCGTCGTTCTGGTGTATAACTTTCGATTTAGGAAGTGTTCACTGTTCAGGGTAATTTAAAATGAATTTTATATTCCGATATGAATACTTTTTATTGAACAAACATCCGTCATCGCCGTCTTAAGATTATTTGTTTTTCATATCATCAAATTTAATGGTACAGTCGACTCGATAATTCAAACCTTCGGTAATTTGAAGTAAATACTCGGTTCCTTGAAAATCATGCGGTAATTCGAAAAAAAAAACAATGTATTTAAGTACACTCGGTAATTCGAAATTTTTCGCCCCAGTCAAAAGTCACTAGCTGTTGAGGTTTTTGATGCTTTATTTACAATAGAAAATACTATTGAAAAAATGAAACTAAATTCAATGAAGCAGAAAACCATTGCAGATTTCTTCGAAAAATAATAATCTTTTATAATAATAATAAATAATTAAAAATGTTAAAATTAATAATAAATAACTCTATCATGTATCACCTAATTTACTAAAATAATTAATATGTATGTACCTATGTACAATAATAAAAAAACAAAATTTTTTTCTCAACTCTCTATAATTCGAATTTTTTTTTGCCCTCTCGTTATTTCGAACTACTCGACAATTCGAATTCTCGGTAATTTGAAGTTTTTCAACAATCACGTCAATTTCGAATTATCGAGTCGACTGTACTACAATCCACTCAATCTCAAATAAGCAAAACTGATGATGGCTTAATATTCGCTGATTGTGAAACACTTACTGTAAAGTACGTTTTGCACCAACAATAAATGGTCTAAGGAGTGATACTACGTATATATCGCAGGGATGATCGCAGGGGTTGATGACCCCGCATAGGTAGGTAAGCAATCGTTATGAATATACGGTAAAGCAATATCGCAGTCCCGGCGCGTGTGCCTAGCCGTGCCATAGCCGACCGAGTCCCAATGTCGTCTCCCAGCTCAATCGTCGACGACTTGAACCGGACGCGTTGAATTTAATATATACGGCGGCTGCGGATACTTATCTCTGCGCGCGACTTGTATAATACATACGCGTGATCTCGCCCTCTCCTCGTTCTCTCGCATAGACACACACCGTCGGCGCGGTCCACTTTCAACATAAATTTGTGTTTTGTTCGCCGCCACTTGGGTGGTCTCATTTGTGTGTGTGTGTTAGTGTGACGACGAGATCTGCACGGCCGCGGCGCAATGTTACCGTTGAATATTGCAAAATGCGTCGCCGCTAATAATAACATTCGATTGCCGCCGGGGAGTGCATTCGATTTTTTATGATGATTCGGCGTCGTATAGAATATTATCATTGTTATTTATATTACAATTTCATTACAAATATCTCTAAAATTTTATTGTTTATTATGTAGGTACAAAATAATATAATATTATATAATAATAATATAAATATAAATATTACATAGTTTAGGGTGTGGATTTTTATGAATGTTTTTTTCATTGAAAAAAAACAATCTAATTAAGTTAAAATATATAGGTTATTTCCATTGTTAAACATTTCCAATCKCAATGAAACTAATTGTCACTAACTGTTTAAGTTGATTTTAATTTAGCTACCTAGGTCCGAAAATTATATTTCAAATAACAAAAAAATATATCACCAAATAAATGATAATATTTAGAATAAATAATTTCATTAAATAATCACGGAAAAAAAACAGTAGTTGCTACAACCACATAAATGATTAACCCAACCATAATCTCAGGTTAATATAGTGACACAATAAATGTATAGTTTGGAGTACTAAAATGAATTAGTTGAAATAACTATAAAATAATAGTTAAAAATGCAACTATAAAATTATAGTTAAAAATGAATCTATAATAAATAGTAAAACTAACTAGTTATTATAGTTAAAATTACTATTTTTTTTAGAACGAATAGTTAAAACACTGAATTTTTTTATTCAATATATCTAATGAAAAGTGTTTAAACTAACACCTTCCAGAACATCATGCATAATATCTACAGAATAATTTTGGGTTACATGAAAATAAGGTATTTGGTTTCATACACATATTTCTTTGATACCACTTAACAAATTATTATTCATTGTCAGATCTGATTTATATAATTGTCTTCATTTCTAAATTTATTATTATTATGCAYAGTTTCATAATTACATTCAATTTTAGAACATTTGCAAAATTTGCATGGATAATTCGCCAAAAATGATTCCGTAAATCCTAAAATTGAATGTAAGCCTAAATTGTCTCCAATTATTAAAGCCAAACTAAAATAAATAAGTTGATTTTTATTATCTATCATTAAATTTATACCTTCATTTTCTAAAGAAGTATTTTCTAAAATTAATTGCATAAACGTCATATTATTTCTAAATTGTTTTCGATCTAATTAATTAAATAATAATGCCAGACAAATATTATTTAATGATGAACTCTGGTGGAAAACATGGGGTGAAAGACATATATATATAAATAGCTCTTGACTTTTTAGACCTTCAAGTGTCCCCAAAGGGTTATTAGTTTCATAGTCATCAAAATACAATGACATTTATATTCTGTTACATTATTAAACGAATGAAATAGTTTAAAATGTTTTGTAAAATCTAAAAATGTATAAAATTGAACTTTACAAATAAAGCATCTCATTTTGTTAACGCTTATATATATTACTTGAATAATGTAGTAATAATAATGATTWAAATATTAAAAAATAAATAWATATGTCACATATTATGTATGAACAATTTATCTACTTAGGTCTTATTGTTCTAGGGTCTTATTGTCTAATTATCTTCTCTTTTTTTGCTTATTGCTTATTTTAAATTATTATCAGATTAGATATAAATTGATAATTTTTATCCAACTTGGTATTAATTTTGAAGAAAAATTGTTGAAYGAATTGCCAAATTTGTTCACTTTCAGTTAGATAGTTGAGGTATAGTGAAAAAAACGACTTAAAACAAATGTCTACTGCTTTTAGAGCACTCTCCAATTTAAAAGAATTGTGGTTGATGACAAAATAAAATGACGAAACTTCAAACCTGTTTTGTGTTCTAGCCCAACAAACACCATGTTGAGTTGTAGGTACTGTAAGTTTCAACAATTTAATTTTTGCACACTTCGCATCATCTATTTCACGTAGTTGTGAAATATCCTGAAAAAAATAATAGGCATTGGATGACTTATAATAAGTTATTTCAATTCATAAAAATACACATTTAATATGTCAATTAATAATTATTTCAACTTTGTTTTTCTTAAATTTATGTAATAGAWGAATCCTTGTCTAATTTTAAGTTTTGTTGGACGCTAGTTTTTTGGTTAAATTATCAATTACCCGTTTACAACACTAGTTCACTGGATTAAATAGCTCAAAAAACAGTTTTAAAGTGGCAGTTGTATCATTTTCTTTAATTAATTAATTTACCATCAAATGGGGTACATTGGCCCACTTTTCATAATTTTTTTACATTCAGGTAAATGTTAATGAAATCTTTGTAAAAATTGATACTTTATAAGTTTTTTTAGTAAAATATAGATCAACTATTTAATATTATAAATCACATTGATATTTTTCAAGGCTGGGCAAGTTAATGATTTTTTTTAACTCGATTAAGTTAAATTAAATATATTTTGTTAAATTAAATTAAAAGTTACCTAAGTTAATATATATTTTTAACACATCAATTAAATTTAAAGTTAATTTAAAAAAAGTTCACCGAAAAGGTTTTAAAATAAGTATTTCAATTTCACTAGARAACATAAAACTTCAGCTTTACACATTGTCAACATCAATTTTAAATGATGACATACCTTCTAGCCATCACTGTACGGAACCGATTACAATTAAATAATACATTGCGTTATAACTCAATCTCGTTGGCATCTAAGTGTTATAATAATAGTGTGATTCACAGAAAAATAAAGCAAGTTTTGTTTGATGATATACAACAATTTAATCATTCATTTTTATCTATTTTGAAAAAAAAATCTTGAAATTATAAGTCTTTACAATTTTGAAATTAATTTATTTGATGATATGTTACTTATGTTTGATTCCCTTGAAAATTCTTTTTCTAATATAAATTTTGAACATTTGCGTTTTAAAGCTTTAGATGAAATGGGTGTTCTTGTTAGAAGTGTAGGAAATAACATAATGGACAAGTGCTTAACATTAAATTGGACATAATACTAGTAAATAGTGTGGTATAAGTGATTCTTACCTTGAATGGTCTTTTGGAAATTTAAAAAATGAAATCCGTAATTTTTCATTGTTGTTTGACCAAAGACTGGTACAATTTGCCAACGAGCATCTACCTACTACCCGAGGCGTTTTTTTACAACAAAAGTCATATTTTGGTAAATAATGTATAAAATACCAAAATAAAGATAAAATGTCTACAGATATAGGTACAAATAATAAAAAGCTTAAAGATCATAAAAGTCGGGACGTAAGACGTAACCGTGTAATACGAAAATCGAAACTCGACAGACGCATCGTGTCATATTATGTTGTTGTTATTGTGGTCTGGTAAAATTTAAAAATTGCAGATTAACAGTGTATCCACAAACAAAAGAAAACTTAAAAAAAAGAGAAATATCTGTTTCCAGACATCTCTGTTCAATTTTAGACACAACTGGTTGATTTTAAATTAAATAAAAAATATTGGTTGGCCTAATTATAATTTATTACATATAATCAGTATCTAAAGCAAATACCAACAAAATAAATATTAATTATATAATTAATTATATTAAATGTGTAATCATTAATAAATTATTTAAATTTTACAATCTATGTAGAATATATCAGTAATAATTAATTAATTTTAATAAATATAAATGTGGTTAAGTAATTTATTTACTATAACAAAAGACAATGGTCATGAGGACAGTAATAACAAAGATAAAGTTAAAGAAGAATCAATTAATATTTCATCAAAACACGAAAATGAATCAATAATTAATGATTTAAAGGCTAGAGTTGAAAAGGTAAAAAAGATACACACAAAATTACAAGCATTACAAAATAAACAAGACTTAAATTTAAACAATAACACAACAAATACCCTTCAACGAGAAAAAGACAAACAATGCATGTCTACTAAAAAAAATGAAAAAAAATTAGAAATAAATAGTTGTGAAATAGAGGATGTCTTGAGGATTATACCAATTATAGAAAATTATCTACAATCACTTACCAAGAAGGTAATTAATTAATAATTCGATTTGTTTGTAAAATGTTTTTATGATTTTTTTTTTGATTTTTGTAGGTGTCTTGTTTATCTAGCTCACTTGATACGAAACAACTCAATGCCAAAATAGTATCAGAACAAAATGTTATTCCAAACAATTCTAATATAAATAGTGCTTCGAACTCTGTAAACCAATTGAACGGTATGGTAAATAAAACAATGCCAACATATAAAGATACTACATCGAAATTAGTTTCTAAAGAAAATAACAAAATGCATAAACACAAACGAAGTGTTATAAAAAAAAAATATTCTTATCAAAAAGTTAACCTTAGAACAAGTTCTGCTGAAATAATTAATAAAGATGATCAAAAACATCAAGAAAAAAACGAAGGAAATGCACCCAAGTACAGTGTTACATCGATCAACCAGTTCACCAATTTAGATGGACAGTTAGAATCCTTTTTTACAAAAATACAGTCAACTTTAACTCAATATAAAATTAATCAAGTTAAAGAAAAATCAGAAATTATGTTTAATCTATCCAGACTGGAGGATAAAATTAACACAAACTATACGAAAATTGATAAATTAATGTCCAGTATCGAACAATTAAGTAAAATAAACGATCCTGCCAATCACGTTATTTTTAAAAACCATTCAAATCTTGAAATAGAAAATAAACCTGAACTTAAAAAAAGTATTGATGATATTAAATTCTGTGTTGATTACCTTTTAAAACCAAATCCTGTTGATATACTAAAAACTCAACAGTCTGTGACTACCAATACTCCAATCATACAAACAAATATTAATGGCAGGTGTACCTGGGATCGGTGTGTTTGCAAATTAATAGACAATAATAATACAACCAGTTCACAGGTTATAAATTCACGTGATGTTAAAAATCAAATTAAGTACGGTGATATTTTTTTATACGAGTTTTTAAATGCAAAGCTAACTTCAGAAAGAATAAAAAGAGACGAGCATCATCAAATAGCACAGGTAAATAATCTTTCAAATCAAATCGGCGCTAATAAAAATAGTAATTTATCGATTTGTCCAAAACAATCAAACMTTTTTTCAAACAATTATGATGGAAATCAAATAGACAAACAAAAATCTAGCCAATCACCATTATGTTCAAAAGAATCAAATTATCTAAAAAATAATGGTAGACAACCTGGAAAACCAAAAATTAACCATTTAACCGTATGTCCCAAGCAATCTGTCCATAATTTTTCTAATAATGGTGTTGAAAATCACACTACATCAAACCAACTGAATGCAAGTAAATCAGTTCGTGAAAAAAACAAAATTTGTAATTTTCTTATATCTCAGCCAATTCCTGAATGGATAATACTTGACGATAATCTCGTTAAATCAGATAATCTATGCTGTAAGGAAGTTACCAATACGTCACCATCAAATAGCACCTTAAATGTTAGCAAATCTTATAATATTGAGCGAATAATAAACGAAAGCTATGACAAAAATGATATAGTTTATGAGATTACACAGAAACCCGATGTTCGAAAAGAAATGAAAAACGACTGTACTTTCAAAGAACAAATAACACCATGTAATAGACTTAACAATGAACCGTGGAACACGAAATAAACCTGTTAGAATTTACAGTTCTTGGAAAAAAAAAAATGTTGATAACACGAATACTGATAACTGTTGTTCTGATMAWTTTTTTTTAAATATTGCCAGTTACCACTTCGTTTTCAGTTTTGTAAATTACCAAATTTTATTTGTGCTTGTGAATTTGTGAGTTATGTTTTCCGTTATTTCTTTACATTCTCATTTTATTAAATATGGAACTAAGCAAAGAACTAAAAAGAAAAAGAAACGTTAATTTTAATAAAAGAGAGGAGGAATTTAAAAAAACCGATTCCGTAATTTGGAAAGATAAAGAGGCATGTTGGGTAAAACTCACTGCAGAGTTCAACAGCTTAGGGCTATTAGTTCCAAGGACTGTTGTCCAGTTGCAGCTCAAGTACAAAAACTTAAAAAAAAGTTGTACGAAAAAAAAGTGCGACAATAAGGGTAAGAACAATTGAGATTTATGTCATGACAATTCACATTTATTTTCATTTTTGTAAATTGTCTTCTCCAATATTCAAGATTGGAAGATCTAATGGTAGAAGGTGGAAAAAACCAGGCTGAATCCCTCGACGATGTTGAACAAAAAGTAAAAGACATTATACAACTGTCTGTTGATTGCCTCCCTTCGGTTTTTGATAGTGATGCAGATTTTGGTGACAACAATGACATGATAGGTAATATTATATTATGTTGTTAGGGTGAGCGTATGTCTGCATTTAAAAAAAAAGAATGCAATATTAAATTAATTATAATTATATAGTTTTGATGATTTTGACTGATATTTCAGACGCTGAAAMTTTTGAAGACATTGAAGTTGATTTTTAAGATAACTGCTACRTGACTGGTAAGTTTAAATTTTATAATATTACAGTTACAATTTAGAATTGTTTTCTAAAATATAATATGGGTTATATTTTCTTTTAGTTATGCCTGATGACAATGAAAATCTCATTTCTCTCATCCCTGAACAAGGTATGTTTCTAGTTTGAATAATATACACAAGTACAGGGGTTTAACAAGTTGAATTAAATGTGTAAATTAATCTGATATAACTTTTTAAAATCAATAGTAACTAGTTGCTTTTTATAGTAATTAATATTTTATGAAATACTMTACATATTTTGAAGAAATTGGTTTTCTTCTTTCTTCTTGGTAATCTTTTTTATTTTAATAGTTTTGTTCTGTTAACTTAAAGTAGACCCAAAACCTTGCACATAGTCAACTTCAGTTACAACTGATACACCTTTTGATAAACAACCGATATGCTTGACAAATCTACTTGATAAAGGCATGTTTGACTTAAATATTTTTACAATAATACAGTATTATAAAAGTACCTAATATAAATCTTGAAATGTTCTTTCTGTAAGGTGCAAGTACCAGTCGAAAACTGAAGTGGTATGTTATAAATTTAAAACAGCGTATAAGCACTCCACTTAGAAGCAATTGTGAGTTACAATATTATATAAGCAAGTTTAGATTCTAAAAACATACTGTACAAACACACTTTTTTAAGTTTTTAGACAAACGTTCCAAGATCAGGTCTTCAGAGGCAACAAACTTATTACAGCATAGGGATAGACTTGTAGAATTACAAATTAAATGCCTAGAACAGGAATATGAAATGAACGAAGTAAAAAAAAGGAATGCTGCCTTAGAAGAAGAAAAATTGTTGTTAGAAATTAAACTACTGAAAAAAAAAATTAATAACTAACATTAATAATAATTGTTTATTTTTAATTAGCCTAAATGTTTTTATCTAATTATATTAATATTAGATTATAAGAGTATTAGAATAAAAGAGTACTTATTTAAAATTAATGGTTAGCCTAACTTAACCAACCTATCAAATTTTTATTGTTTAAAAAATATTTATTTAATAGAATTTGTAGTATTTAGGATACCTCTGGTATTATACTATTATCTTCACAAAATAACACAATATGTACATTTAACTTAAATATATTCAAAGTACTACAATTATAATTATCAATAGAAAACATCAGATTTTTTTTTAGAAACTGTTGATTTATGATTGCTTTCAATTTCAAAATATAATATACATTTTCTGTTAGTTAATGTTAAAATAATAGTAATAATTTCACACTAAATTGGCAAAATGATCGCTGATCAGAATATCTCTTTCTTGTCTACCTCTCACAACTCCTATAACATTTTGATTTTGATAGTTGTCTTCTGCAATATCCACATTATTATCATAGCCCTCGTGCTGAAATGCGTCATTTGGAATGTCATCGTGCATATTAATACAAATATTATGGATCACAGCACACGCTACAATTAATGCTTGTGTATTAACTAAGCTTGCTGTTATGCCTTTGCTGAGCACAGAAAACCTTTGTTTCAGAACACAAAAACATCTGAAAAATTAAAACAAATAACATTATAAAAAAGTAATTAGGAGAAAAAAATGATATTTTTTTAGAAAAATTAGGTTTTTTACTCAAGAGATCAATATGTACTCAAAAACATTATAAAAAAGTAATTGAGACAATGTGTATTCTCATTTCATCGCCATCATGACAAAAGTGACCAAGTGCAAAACCATGTTTATGGGACCTAATTTTTAGTGTGCACTCCTGGAACCAAAAGCCTGTGTGTACCTATTTACATTTATAATGAATATTATACAAAGAAATATTTACCTTTCAATAGCATTTCTTTTCCTGATTTGGCTTTCATTATATAGGTAACTGCTGGCTTAGTGTAGTAGGGTTCAGCAGAGGTGTCATAAGATAAGGCTTAACTTCATAACCACCGTCTCCTAACAGGTATCCTTTAATGACCCCTGTTTCAAATTGATGTTTTATTGAAGAGTTATCAAAAATAATCTGATCATGACATGACCCCGGCCATCGCRCCACTATGTCCATTATTTTAAGCGATGGATTACAAATACATTGTGTATTGATGGAAAAATATCCTTTCCTGTTTCGGAATGTTTCCGCATTATCTCCACCTGAAACATTCATGATCATGATAAATAATAGTTTAATCATACAGGCATACAGGACACCTCAAATGATAATAGAACCTATTTGTGACAGCCTAATTGTTAATTTTTTTTTGCCTACCGGGAGATTGAATTTTTATGTGAGTACAATCCACWGCTCCCACCACTYTAGGAAATCTACTATGGCTGTAAAATCCACAGACTACGTTCCTCATGTCAACTTCATTTTTTGGAAAATAAACGAATTTTGACCTATGCCTTGCTAAGGCTCTACAAACTTGATGGATGTATCTACAAGCTGAGGATTCACTGACACCAGTGAAGTCCGCGACAGTTAGCAAAAATGAGCCTGTTGCAAGGTACCTAAGCATTATGTATAATTTATATGGTGCTAATATTGCTGTGTTCCTGAAAAAAAAATCAGAAAATGTAGCAATAAAGATGATTGTCTTTTTTATAGCAACTGCATACCTTTGAGAAGGTGGAGTTATATCTGCTCCTATCATTCTCAATACAGTGTGAAACATTTCTTATGAAAGGCGAAATCTGTTTATGAAATCATGGTTGTYGTAGACTTCCAAGTAATTAACTCGTTCGTTAAAAATTCGAGGTCGTCGTTGCATTGCAATAACCACTTCGTCGAGCTCGTTATCCTCATCATAGTTAAATAATATTCGGTTTCGATGATCCATATTTCAGTACTTTACAACAGTTTTATTATTTCAATTAAATTGTAAAGTGTAAACAAAATCAGAATTATTTCACGACGATAAGATAAAAAAAAAARATATAAATGATAACCTAGAGTTAGCTCGTTATTCCCTAGTAATATCTGGAGTTAAAATCCGATAGTTAAGATTTCTACTAACTAGGAGTTACCACCAAACTGGTCGTGAAATCTATTTTTTTTGCTAACTCCGAGTTAATGGTTACTCACACTCTAGAATCTAGACTAGAATCGGTTGGACATTTGCAACAAAGKTGATCTACGTTTAGCTTTGACCAATATCAAACCAGACATCGTTAAATTAGCAGCTACTCATCAGGCTCAGGGCAGTCATTGATAGGTATAATTTGTATATTTTATAATTTTTTTTTTATAGTTCAGTAAATCTTTTTGTATAGTAAAGTATTAAATTGTTTTGTTAAGTGGTGTAAAATATAACCATAACTATCTAAAAATAAGAGTTTTTACTTTAATAGTTTAATTAATAATGTTATAATATACTGATGAATAAATAAATATACAAATATATATATATTTATAAGAAGAAAATTTGATTTTTCTTGAGGGGGGGGGGCGTTAGCAATTAGTTATTACGATAAAGGGGGCGCTGAACTAAAAAAGGTTAAGAACCACTGCTCTAGATGGTGAAACCGGATAAGATTATACTATAATATCTCCAGCCATAAAATCCAATTAGTAGTATAGTTTACACTATTAATAATGGTATCGAAATAAAGATAAAATCAAGTCGATAGGTATTCAATACAATACAAAAATAATTTGTGAAATGTGACTGTTTAACTGCATAATCTGTTCTTCAGTCACTCCATGAATTTTGAACGGTTGTGTTGTTACAGTGTTAAAAATGCCGAAAATTAAATGATAAATATTACAATTATATTATAATAATATTTTATTATAATATATAAAATGTTTAGTATTTATATCTAATTGTTAGAAAATATTTTTTGTATTAGTGGTAGTGATGAGGGATACATATTAAATATATGATATATGGACATATTATTAGATACATGTGAATTTTAATTATACTTATTCAAATTAACTTCTGAATGATTCATCAATAAATTGAATAAACTTTTTTGTGAGGTATGAATCACTAGTAGATTAAGAGTTATAGGTATGTAATTAATYAAATATTCAGCATCAAAACCAGAGTAAGAGTTCAGATTATTTCTAACATTACAATTTATTAAAAATTGTCATTAAGGGTTCCACACAATCTATTTGAAGCACGGAGTCAAATTGAAGACTTCAGAAAAATAAAAATAAAAATGTTTATTCATTCATAGGCTATGAATGTTATGTTATTGAGTTTTTCATAATATGTATAACTCAATAATTGAAATATTTTAATGTATCCATTGATATATTGTAATATTATTATTATTCAAACTAATACCCTAAGCTGTTGATTCTGTAACAATATGATGCTATACCCGTTTATTATACATAAATAAATAAACAAAAAAATATGAAAAAAGTTATACATATTTCATGATCACCAAAAACACATTTTGAATAATAAAATCATGATTAAATAAAATATGATGTAGTGATTGCTATATTTTCAACATAATATTAAGTGTAATTAAACAAGTTTCTAAGAAAAGAAAAAAATAAACATTCTATTCTATGATAATTACCATAAAAACTAAAGTACCACATTTTGCTATTTAATAAAAACATAAGACATTTTAATAAGCAATTTTGGCCYACGATTTTCGATATTTTGAATTTATTTAATATGGTCGCTTTTATTAGATGTAAAATAATATTGTGAAAATTCTAAATATATTAATTAATTTACTTACTCTGACGTTTTCTGAGAATATTATTTCTCGTCTATAATACTTTTTATAATTAATAATCAGCAAGCATTCCTTTTCACCAAACGAGTGGTTAGAAACAGAACTAAACGTAAATTAAACCACAATTTATATTCTAAACAAAACCAAACATTTGAAACTTAGAATTTTTTAATTACATGTCTTCACGTGTTTTACTTGGGTTATACAGTTTAAGACCACAATAAACTAATTTAATATGTATGTTAATATATTATAAAATACAACGAATTATATATTATAAATTGTGTAATGAAACTACCGCCAAAAACACATAATCCACGGCACTACGATCATTTTACGCTAAAATTTAACAATAGAGCGCGCGTACCGGCAATGCTTTTTGTAAAGTAGTCGATTAATTAATTCCTTGCCAGTAATTACGATGATTTAACTAACCTAAACAATAAATAAAAGGTATTAGACAATATATTATTCATCCTAATGTCGCTTTCCGTCCGGTTAGAAATATTATATTG